AATCTGCGAAGGGGCGCAGCGATGGTGGAGAAGTTCCTCACGAACTTCCTATAGTAATTAGCTAGGCCCAGGAACGAGCGCAATTCTGTCAGCGTACGTGGCGTGGGCCAATCTCTAATCGCTGCGATCTTGCTATCTTCTGGCTTAACGCCGTCTCCGTCTAAGACGTGGCCTAGGTACAGAACTTGGGTCTTTGCCCAATCGCACTTCTTTGCATTGATCTTGAAGTTAGCTTCCCTCAGCTTCTCCAAGACCTGCCTGAGATGACCCTGATGCGCTTCGAAGGTCCTACTAAACACTAAAATGTCATCTAAATAAACTACAACACATTTGTCTAACCACGGCAACCACGGCCTAAACAAGTCGTTCATACAGCGCTGGAACGTAGCTGGCGCATTGGTTAGTCCAAAGGGCATCACTATGAACTCGTAGTGCCCATACGTAGTCCGGAAGGCCGTCTTGTACGGATCGTCAGGATGCACCTCTATCTGATGATATCCGGACTTCAAATCTATCTTGGAGAAATACTTCGCCCCTTGCACTCGATCTAAAAGATCGTCTATCCTAGGCAGTGGCTCTTTATTCTTCACTGTAATAGCATTTAGACCCCTATAGTCTATACACATCCTCAGCTCTCCCTCTTTCTTAGGGACAAAGAGAACAGGGGCTCCAAAAGGAGACGAACTGGGCCTAATCCAACCCTTTTCAAGGAGCTCGTCCAACTGCTTCTGCAGCTCCTCTAACTCCTGCGGGGCCATCCTATACACAACACCCTTAGGAGTCCTACTGCCAGGCTCTATCTCAATACGGTGCTGGATGGGCCGCGACACCGTGCCTGTCGGCGGCTCAGTCAAATCCTTAAACTCTTCCAGCAATTTGGCAATAGTAGGGTTTATGGGCTTCTCTTCCTTAGGCTCAGTGACGGGCCTAACATAGGCAACAAAGACCTGTTCCTCTAATTTCTCCTTCTTCACCAATCTGGCGAACGCAGGGGCACTAAGGCAGCAATGTGCCAAGGAATTCTCTACTCCCGACACATGAAACAGGCAGGCAGTCTTAGCCTCGCCTGCAGAACTAGGGAGTCTACACTCGTGCTCCTTCAGATGGAGCGTTGCCCCGGCTGCCTCTCCCCAATCCATTCCCAGCACTATATCAAACGGGAGGCTGTCCTCTACGAGGAGAGTCAGGGAGTGGAGGACCTTCTCCACCTTCCCATCTTTCTCTAGGCGGAAATACGCTTGGACTCCCTCTACGTAATCCTCTACAATCATGGTACGATTGTCCGCGAGGATACTAACTATGGGGTCTGCCTGTTTCTGGACTTTAAGTCCCAGCCTCAACTTCTGCAACGCTTTCTTACTAATATAGTTGTGGGTGGCCCCTGAGTCTACTAGGGCCCCTACTCTACTTCTAAAAATCTCTGCATCTAATAAAATCAGCTGCCCTTTATTCTCCTTCTTCATCTTGGCCCAGGCGGGCCTCCTCTCCTTCAACTCTTCGGCCACGCCTGTGAGGGAGGTGTCTACCGAAACTCTAGCACAAGCAGTTTCAGGACAGCTGTCTAGACACCGGCCTGCAACCTCTGCCATAGGCACATGTGGTGTGGGAGTCTCCTGCCGGCTAGCGCTATGTTCCCCACATGGCCTAGTGGTAGGGGCAGTTGCTACCCCTACCAGCGGCTGCCTTTTGGCCCTTGGGCAGCCGTCCGGGTCTTTCGATACTTAGGACAATATTTGATGATGTGGCCCGGGTCACCGCAGAAAATGCACTGGCCCCGGTCCAATCGTTGTTGCCTTAAAGTTTGGTCCAAACCCAAAGATTCCCAAGGCCTGCCCTGCGGCAGCCCTGGGTGCCGTCCTCCTACTCTATAGGGAGACCTATTCCTAGGACGATTTTGCGGGGGACCTTGACCCCTTCCTCCCGCTTGGCGGTTTCCTCCCCTGCCGCCAACCCCCTGGCCGTCCTGAAACCGGCTCCCTGAGGCCCGGCCTCCTTGGCCTTGGCCTCGTCCTTCGCCTTGTGGCCTCCCTCCAGCCGCGACAGCAGCGTAAGTCCTCCCCTGGCCTACACCGCTGCTCTCCTCCTCTAACCCCCACTCAATCTGATCGTAGGGGATCTCATCCACACTACCTTCATCTAAAGTTAGGACAAGGCTATCCTTAGTTTTCACCTGCCCAGAGATAGTGCGGCCCTTCCATTGCTTTCCCTTGTCCAAGTCTTTGTGCCAAAAGGTAGACACAAATGCAGACTTGGCTTCAAAGGCCACCACTTCACGACTGAGAGAATCATAAGTAATGGCCGGATCTTCGCTCTTCGCGAAGAAGTGCCCTCGCAAGGCTTCGGGGATCGCCTGGTAGAAGAGGCCGACCAATTGGGTGTCTGTGACCCCATGGTCAGGAACGGCGATTAGTTCGTCCATCGTGCTCTTGAGTGCCCTGGCACTCTTCCACTTACGAGCGTGGATTGTTTGGAGCCTATCTGAGGCTTTGACACTACGAGCGACATCTGCAAATCGCTCGTGCAGCAATTTCATGAACTCGGTGAGGGAGGTAAATGCCGAATAGGCAACTGCATCATCATTGCAGTTAGCGGCGCGCACTAGGGACCTTGCAAAACTGGCGGCCTCATCTTTGAGCGCATGGATGGCAATCAAAACATGCTGATCTGGGGAGACCTGTTGCAGATGCACGTAGGTCTTGACGTTAGCCTCCCAGTTGTCAAAGTTCTCTTCCCGCTGTAGGAATCATGGAATTTGGCCTTGACCGGCTCCCGACGAGGAGGACGTGCTTCCTCCTCCTTGGGAGCTGCCACTTTGACACCTTCAATGGCGCCAACACAGAAACGCTCAGTCTTCTCTAGGCGATGATTCACCTCGGCTCCTACGACTCCTATCAGTTCGCGCGCAAAGTCCCGGAATCCCATTCGCATCGAGCGCATAGCTCTGTCCTGACTTCGGCTAAACTCGTATTGCTGTTCTTGTATCTTTGCTAGACGCTTGACAGTCTGGGCGAGGATCTCTACCTTTCGTTCGAGGCCTACCTGAGGTGTGAACTTTAGACTTAATTTCTGCACTTCTTCTAACTCCTTGACCGCCTCACTCGCCGCCTCCACCCTTCTCTTCTTTTCCCTCATCATCGTGAGTTTCCATTCCATCCTCTGCTCATCCTCCATCGCCTGCCGCTTCAGCATATCCTTTTCTGCTTCCCATTTCTTCAGGGCGGCTTCCTGGTCATCCTTGGGGATATACATAGCCACTTCTTCTTCCTCTCCCAAGGACAAATTAGCGACCCATTCTGAAATCCGTTTCTCCATTTCTTCACCCTTGCTGCCATTGTGCTTCCCTCTCCTTCTTTCCAGTGGCGGTCCCTCTTCTTCTTCCTCTTCCACCTCTTTCAACTTCTCCTCTTCCTCTTTCTTGATTCTCTCCTTCTCTCTGGCCATTTCTTCCTCTAGCTTCTTCAGCTTGGCCGCCTGCTCCTCCTGCAGGGCTTTCTTCTTGGCCTCCCTCTTCTCTTTTCTCTCTTGCAGGATGTCGGCCATCTTCGCCTCCTCCTCCTTTGTGTACGACATAGTGGAGGTGCCACGCCGGGTGTCTACCATGGTGGTGTCACGTGCACGACAGGGGTCCCACTCCTCACCACTTGGACCTACCCGGACACACTGACCTACTGACTGACTCCCTAAGGACCACAGGGTAAGACCCTGTCAACTATGGTCACTACCAACCCAAGACTACTCTAAGGCTGTCACTACTGAACCAAGAGCTGATCAGGAGGCATTTAAGGAGATCCCCCGTAACTCCTCAAGAATTCTTTAACGTCGCAGACAGGACGA